AACCCAACGTTTCAGGCTGTGTAGCGCTTCCTAAACAAGCTTAACTATCACATCAGAGTATACTAAATTATCAAATCGAAAATGACAATATCATCAAGTCAAAGAATGTAACAATTTAAATTCTCTATCTCTTGGGTGACTCGTCCTAAAAGATTCAAATACGGTCTAGTGCTACACACATCACAATATATGCTTATGATATACACCTAGGTACTCCATATTCCCGGTGGTTGAGACACACGACAATATCGCATGTGTCAGTGTCATGCATAATAATCTGGTATAATAAACTTATCATTTACTAGTTATAGGTTAAACACAAATTTAAGAAATTTTTAAGTTAGATCATATTTCCAAGCAAGTGACCATCACAGTGCATAATCTAATAAAAAATTTCCAATTATATATAACAATTATATAAATTATACCCAAATTATATGTGCAACAATTAAATCTATTAACATTACAATATATATATAACAATTATATAAATTATACCCAAATTATATGTGCAACAATTAAATCTATTAACATTACAATAATATTACATAATTTATTATACCCAAATTATATGTGCAACAATTAAATCTATTAACATTACAATAATATTACATAATTTGTATTGAATGTTCAAGGACATATTATTACTATTCCATCATTTCCCTCATGCTAGATAGGTTTCTTCTTTATTTATTCTATCAGTTCTACGTAATAGATATAGGTTTGGTGGTTCCATATCCTCCTGCATACTAAAGTTGTGACCCTTTTAGACTGATAGCAATGGAATTGTCCTCGTTCACTTGAGACATTGTGTTTTGTTTCTTCCTGGTACCAATTATTTTTTTCGTGATAATTTATTTAAACATTATCAATTACATGACATGATTTGTTTTCTTATACGTGATAGGTTGGCCCAGAATACGCTAGGTATTGTGGAATAGAAGCTTTAGAGCCTCTTGGCATCTACCTACCAGGTGATATAAATTACCCTGGTGGCTTACTCTTTGACCCTCTCGGCCTTTCTAAAGATCCAGTGGCCTTCGAAGATCTCAAAGTGAAGGAGATCAAGAATGGACGGTTGGCGATGGTTGCTTGGTTAGGTTTTTATCTTCAGGCAGCTCTAACTGGTAAAGGTCCTTTGCAGAACCTTATTGAACATGTATCAGACCCTTTTCACAATAATGTGATTTCCTTGATAATGTCGAGGTAATATTAGCTTTAAGTGGTAAGTTCTTTATCAGATACAAATTGATCAAAACAATCATCACAGATGTATTACTGTAGACTATTGTTCATAAAAAACATTTGACTGTATAGCCGTGATGTGTAAATTATAATCGATGTACTATTTTTGACAAAATTATATGTGCAAAAAGGCAGTTTTAGCGTGTTGGTTTTTGTATCACATCTTTATTCAGTTTCAGTTTAACGTTATATTTCTACTTATTTTCGTGAACTTACAATCTGAATGTAGTTCTTTATCGCATCTTTTAACAGAAAGAAATGTCCGTATTTTTATTCAATGTTTGTTCTCTTTCTTTTTTGGCTAATTGTCACTCTTATGATGAAGCTAAATCATACCCTACAACTTGGGCTGCTGCTTAATGTGCCTTTCTATCTTATCACTAATAGTACAGTAGAGGACAATTATTTGATGATTCATGATGTTGAAGAGGCAAAGCAACATCATAGGTGACATGACATATGGAGGTCGTATGATTTCTTACCTTAGGAGGAATAATTTGTTGAAGGTCAACACTGGTGGCATGCCTTTAAAGTCTTGGTTGATTATCTCATTCCTCTCTTAAAAGCAAAAAAGGATACATCAAAATAGCTTTCGAGTCGATGAGTGATTAAAGTTAAACCAACATACACTGATGAGATCATCTACGTTATCCTTTCCGTGTCTCTGTAAATAGACTATAATGATGCTGATGGCCTTTTTTGTTTGGCCAAGTATTCATAGGGGTTGAAAGATTGGATCATGTTTGATGTCTCATACTGTACCTAGCTTGTCTCTTTATTCTATTAAATGTCAAATTAATCCACATGGTTAGGTTTACTTGTAATGAACTCGTTTAGTCTTTCTCTAAGTGTTTACATCCTTTTCTATCCCTTGATATTTACTTCATCAATAACCCTTGGTGTCAGTGAATCTTCATAAATCTTGACTATGAACATGCTCTATGGCACTATTCCAAAGATATTTTCAAGACTTGTCTTTTGTTGTAAACAAGAAAATAGAGATTCATTTCTACTAGAGATGCTAGGGGTGGGCAAAAACCGAAACAAACCGGTTCAACCGAAAAAACCGCCCAAAAAAACGGATCGGTTAACCGAACCGAATTAAATGGATGAGAAGAAGTCTCTAAACCGCCCGAACCGAATTAAACCGGTCTGGATCCGGTTTGAACCCCTGAACCGCCCAAAAAAAACCGAACCGAATTTTTAAACAAAAAGTAGCTGCGAGCCTTGGGTGTGAAGAAAATTTATGGCTGAATGTTTAGCATTTAAGAATTGTGGGGTGGAGTTTATACTAACATATATTTGAGTACACTGATATAGTTAAGTGAGATTTCCGTAAATCAATACAAGATGTTGAGGTTGAAGGATAAATTTAGTGTTTTGGTCAAATTTCAGTGATAACATGAATACAGCTTACTGGTGCTGGATATCAAATTAACCTATAGTATAGGCTGTCAAGGATATAAGATAATTCTTGATGAGAAAAAGGCAGCTAAAAATTAACGAAAATCATCAAAAGGTGTGTGTGCCTGCCAAACATTGTTCTTTCTCTAAAAAAGGCTACATAATTACATGGTCCTCCTAGTGTATTAAGCTAGTTATATTCAGATCATACAATTTGATTAAGTGGCTTAGTACAGTTTTGATTGTTTCTTTTCAGTTTTGATTGCTTCTTTTCAGTTTTGGATATAACTAAAACTTACCCAGATTTTTGTGAAATGGAGTTAATTCGGTTCAAAACCGAAACCGAACCGAACCGAACCGAATTTTGGTTGGGCCGAATATTCGGATGAAGGGGGAAAAATCTGGATCTGGATGAGAGTTTTGAGAATCCGAAAAATTCGGATTGGATGCGGATTGGGCTTAAAACCGAACCGAACCGAATACGCCCAGCCCTAAGAGATGCCATATCTTCTGCAAAGATGTTTGATTCCATTATCTGTATGTGACTCACAAGCTCAAGCGTGCTCTCTTCTATTGTTTATGGCAAGCTTAGCTGGCAGAATTTAAGCCCCCTTATTTGGTGGAGCACAGTCACCATGCAACTTGTAATATTAATTAAAATATAAAATTCCCCTTTAAATAAAGGGTTAATTGCAAATACACTCCTTGTACTACGATGTTCTAGCCATTTATATCCCTAAACTATTCTATTAACACTTGGATACCATACTCGGGTGATATCTTTTTAGTGAATCTAAAGGCAACACATATAATTTAGCATCTATTGTTATGTGATTCTCATATGACATCTTAACATAAATAGGGAATTAATATTATCGTGAACTCGGACGGAATCAAATTTGTTGTATAAATGCTAATAAATTACCTTATAGGGTATATGGCTGTACCCTTGTAGCACAGAGGGTGCGTCTGCAATTAACCCTTGAATAAACAGCTTTGATACACTTGTGAATTGGAAAACAACTGTATCAATATACGAATCCTACTGGAGTGTAGTTTAAACAACCTTATCATGCACAAAAGAGAAAAAAAAATTAAAAATCAACAGTAGTGCTGTTTTTGCTGGAGATAAGATAATAGGGGAATTGAGTCCCACAGGGCAAAAGAGACCAACACACAATTTGAGGGTTGGCCCTGAAATCAGCCTAACTGCGAGCCCCATGTCACTAGGATCTGGCTCTCTGTTTACTTCATATATAATATAAGCACAAAGAGCATGAGCATGAATGGATGGAGCTAGCGTGCACTTCTCAAATGCATGTAGCATTATTGAATCATGTTTCCATGATCTCAGCAAGTTAATATGGAGCAAGTTGTTTGCGGTGGTTTTTTTGGCAAGCATTGCATGATCTATTTTTTGAACATAACGAAGGCGTTTTCAACTTAAAAAGTCATATGGGGGGAAAAAGGAGTATGTTTAATATTTACTTTTTCCCGTGTATTGCACTCATTCTTTCTAATATATTCTCATTCCTCCCTTTCTATGTATTAATATCATTGTACCTTTTTCCTCTCAATAAACTAAAAGATTCAAGACTTCTCTTAAAACTGAAAATAAAAATAACTAAGAGATCGCAAGTTTTAGATACGTGAAGGAGATTACACTCACAAGCAAATGCCCTTCTGTGGGTATCAACTGACAGTTTTTGCATCAAAGTAAATATACGAGAGCTTAAAAAAAATTCTTTTGAGCGGGGGATGATTAAATTTTTATCACATGTGATATATATGAGAGCAGGTTCACATGATATCTCATATATAGAAGTGAACATTGTAGACATATACATATGAGACAAAGTGGACATTAAATAAGATCATGGGTACTCCCCATCTTTTGATTGTATGGTTCTCAGAGAGTTGGTTATCCTCCTGTTCATAGTCTAGAATTTCTCATACTTCTACAAGCCATTTAATCAAAATATTTCAGAGTTGAAATTTCAATGCAAGTGATGAAGCAATTCAGAGGAAAGAAGGAAACAAACTATAGAACTTGCTTTTATTCCTTGCAAATATCTCCCCTTCAAAGTAATTAATAATAATATGACTTTCAAATTTGTATGAGAGATGGAGATAGAGAAAGAGACATCTCACTAAGTTATGTTAACACTGATTTGATTAGCATAATCTCCCTCTATCAAAATTGTCCTCTGTTTTTTATTATGTGGGAGAATAAAGAAAGAGGGAGCTCCATTAGCGGCCCTCCTACAATATTCACCGGGGTGGGGGGGGGGGGGGCGGCGCTTTCCTTTCTTGAGAGTTAGTTGCTTGCAGCAGTTCCTCAAGCAATCCTGTGAACACTACAGAAAGAAACAAAACTACCTCTTGTCTCTCTCTACTCTCCCAACTGAATTCCTCCCGTATATAAATAAATCCATTCTCTGCTCTCCTCTCTCTATCTCATTCTTTCTCTTTCTATCTCATGGCTTCAATAGTGCTCTTGCTCTCTGTTCTGATAGCAGGAATAAGCTTCTCTTCTTCATCTCAGGTGCTGGATAATTCTGAGTGTTTCTGCTTTATTTTTTATGGGTGTTTTCTTAATTGATTTAAATTTTATCTGGCTTTTTCTTTTTTAAGGTTTATATTGCTTATATGGGCAAGAAGAACAACCACCACCCTGATGAAGTCTCATTACAAAATCACCAACTTCTCTCTGTTATTCATGGTGGAAGGTCAATTCATGCCCAATCCAATCTTCTAACAACATTTTATTTAAACCTTTCTCACGATTTTTCTTATTTTTGTTCAATAGCATGGAGAAAGCAAAGGAATCCCATGTGTACAGCTACAGAAATGGCTTCAGAGGTTTTGCGGCAAAACTAACAGAAGTACAAGCCTCAGACTTAGCGGGTAACTCTCGTTTTAAAAATTAATCGATTTGGGGTTTTCAATTGTGTTCTCTCATTGCATTTTTGGATTAATAGGGATGCCCGGTGTTGTCTCGGTGTTCCCAAATAAAAGGAGGATATTGCATACTACACATTCATGGGATTTTATGGGTGTCAGCGGTCATGAGGAAATGGAGATCCCTGGGGTTTCTACAGAGAATCAGGGGAATGTCATCATTGGTTTCATTGATACAGGTGAGGGTAATTTTCTTAATAGAATCTTTTTTCCTTACTTTTTTTGGTTTTTTAACAGACTAGAAAACTTACTTAAGGAAGCTTCAGTCAAGTGTTGTGGATTTTTCTCACATGACATGTGGAAATTTGGATTTTGTCGAGTTTGTCTACTTGTAGCAGAGAGTTTTATGTTAGTTTCCCCGTTTCAAATATTTTTACCTTTTTCACAAAAAAATTCTACTAACCTTTCTATTATTATTCTGTGACATACACAGAAATTTTTATTTGCAATTTCTAATCTTGTAAAAGAATTGCTGGTTTCTTCTTAAGGACATAAGCAAATAGTTAAATGAAAATATAAATTCTTTTTAATTTTAGAGTTTCCTTTGCTCTTTTTGACGCAAAAATGTTACATGATTGGTCTAGATTCTTCTCCATGTATGATGGGACTCTGTTGCTCTCTATTCTAATGCATCTTTAATTTCTGATTTTATTGAATAAAATTGACAATTGCATTTGCCTTCCACATAAATATACAAAATGGCAACTTTCAAAGGTATTACTACTTCTCTTACCTAAATGTATTTCTGGCAACAAAAATGTTTCTGATTAATTCACATAAAATTTTAGGCTTTTTCTTGTGTCTCACCCAAGAATCAGTCCTTGTCGTTCCTAGCAATACTCCAACCTTCTCTTGATCTCTCAATTGCACCATGTACTATTTTTATAAGTTTCTGATAGAAATTCTTCTCAACGATTCTTATGCTCTCAGGAATTTGGCCAGAATCACCAAGTTTCAGCGACGCGGGAATGCCCTCAATACCTTCAAGATGGAAAGGCCAATGCCAAACTGGAGACTCATCCTCCAATTTTACCTGCAACAAGTAATTCTAACAACAACAAAAGCTTCTCTATCTCATAACCATCTCTTCTCAAAATCCGTCCCTTCTCATTTCTCACAGAAAAATAATCGGAGCAAGATACTACTTAAGTGGCTATGAAGCCGAGCAAAACACAAAGAAACCTGACAAGTTCGAGTCCCCAAGAGACAGCCAAGGGCATGGAAGCCACACTGCATCAACTGCCGCTGGCAGATTTGTAAATAACATGAACTACAACGGCTTAGGAGCCGGTGGAGCTCATGGAGGAGCTCCAATGGCAAGAATTGCAGTATACAAATCCTGTTGGGATTCTGGTTGCTATGATGCTGATATATTAGCAGCATTTGATGATGCTATTAAAGATGGCGTTGATATAATCTCGGTTTCTCTTGGTCCTGATTCTACTCAAGGGGATTACACTGATGATGCAATCTCTATAGGATCGTTTCACGCCAATGGCCATGGAATTCTTGTTGTTGCTTCTGCTGGAAATGTTGGAGGTGCAGGGACTGTTACTAATGTTGCTCCTTGGATTTTGACAGCCGGTGCGACCTCAACTGATAGAGAGTTTGCTTCTACTATAGATTTTGGCAATGGGACTACTTTCACTGTAAGTTGATCATCTTCATCATCATTGAAGTTAGGATTAATTACATTCCGGCATTCAGAGGTATGATGTAACACCGGTGAACCTAAAGTATACACACCTACACAGATAAGTCTGAGATTCATGATTATAATTATACAGGTGATCCTAGGATCTGATGATAGGTTAACGCCATCTTTTTTACTAGATTGGAGTTCTTGTTGGATGTTGGTTAAGCTTATGTTTAGTTTAGGTTTATAGCAAAGTTTATTGACTAAAGTTCTATTGTTATAAACTTAACTCTGACCTTAACCCTAATAGTCAATAATCTTCGCTCTAACCCTAAAAGTCTAACTTGACCAACATTCAACAAGGACTTCAAATCATCAACAGAAAAATAAAAATAAAAGTAATGGTTTTCCCCGCCGTCAAACTCCAAGGTGGCCAGTGTAATTACAATCAGCAATCTCAGGATTACGTATGTAGATACGCAGATTACCCAGCCACCCATGTGACTACATCATATCATATCATTGGATGCCAGATTAATTTTATGTTCTAGTCTTCTCTTAAAAAATTGGGCAGTGGTATAATCAAAATTTTAGGGGGAAAGCCTGAACACGATTAAGATGAATGAACCAGTTAGAACAATTCTCGCATCACAAGCAAAAGCAGGATACTTCACTCCTGATCAAGCAAGGTAAATGAGATGAAAGATGTACACATTATGACATTTTACAGTCAGAAGACTGATTTTTTTCCCCCTTCATTTTTGATGTAGTTATTGTTTGGATAGCTCATTGAGTGCAACAAAGGCAAGGGGGAAAATTCTTGTGTGCAACAACTCTGGTACTGATTCTGGATCAATGAAGGAAAAAGCCGTGATCGTGAAGAAGGCAGGGGGAGTTGGAATGATTCTTATAGACGAAACCGAGAAACGCCTTGCTCTACCCTTTGATATACCCGGGGCAACTGTGGGAAAAGAAACTGGTGACAAAATATCTTCCTATCTTAACTCCACAAGGTCTATTTTTTTGCCTCTGATACTTTGTTTTAATTAAAGCTTAAATTTTGGGGTAAATCTCACAAATCCCCCTAAAGTTTAGCCGATATTGAGGTAACCCCCCTACGCCTTAAAAATTGTCATTGAACACCCACTAAGTCTTATCAGATTAACCCTATAGCGACATTGTTAGATCCGAATGTCCACGTGAAAATCACATGCGTCCAAATGACTAAAATGACCCTGATTGAAATTAAAAAAAGTCATTTCCTTGCCCTTTTTAATAATTTTAAAAGGTAAGTTTCACGAAACCTCCTTAGTGGCGTGGAATTTCGAGTGCTAGTTTAATTTAATTTAATTTAATTTAAAAATTGGAGTGCTAGTTTTGAAAGGGTATTTTGGTTATTTTACCATTTCACCAAACAGCGTTAGGGGGGTTTGTTGAAAAAAAAAATTAAAAATTTTTGGGGGCCAAACCTAAGGGGTGTTTTGTGACATTTACGCAAAATATTTACATATTTTACAAATTTGAGACGGGCAATTTCAGGGGAGCAACATCCGTCATTTCACCTGCGACGACGATAACAGGATCAAGACCAGCCCCTTGGGTGGCATCATTCTCTTCCAGAGGTCCAAATTTATGGTCACCGGCGATCTTGAAGGTGAGCAATGAATCAATGAATTGTAGTTAGCACTCGGGTTCAAAAATAGTGGGCGTTGTTGATTGATTTTATTTGGTTTCGGTTTTAGCCCGACGTCGTGGCTCCTGGTTTGAATATATTGGCAGCTTGGACACCCGAAGATAGAGGAATGGAGTATAACATTGCCTCAGGAACCTCAATGTCCTGCCCTCATATTAGTGGACTTGCTGCCCTGATCAAAGCTGTTCAGCCTCATTGGTCTCCAGCTGCTATCAAATCTGCTATAATGACTACAGGTTTGAATGTTACAAGCTTGAGATTAGCCGCTAATAAGTCTTTAAATTTATACGTTTTCTTCAGGGTTAATTAATTGGACATACACCCCTGTTCATTTTGATATATCCGATACTCTGGGTTAAAGTTTGACAGATTTTTCCCTGGGTGAGATTAATGAGTCTGGTAGCAAGTTCAGAAGTGTGACACTACAGGGGGTCTATGTGCAATTAACCCTTTTCCTTATTAGATTTGATTGTTTTGCATGCGTATACTGCTGTTTATGATATGGTTTGTATATATTTAAAAAAAACACTTACTTTTGAGCTCAGTATTTAGTTTTTTTGTAGCTTGTAGTAGGAACCATGTATGATTTCTTAAACCTGATTGCACAAAGTTTTAAGTGCGTATTCAACTGTTGAATTCATGTAGAAAGAAGATGCTCACAAACATTCAAAACAACTGTTTTCCATTTATGTAACTTTCGTTAAACTTTGGAGATGCAGTTGTTTCGTTAAAATAGTATTGAAGAAACGTGATGTATTCTACTCACCGTTGTTCTGGGAATGATGAAAACAAGAATCGAGAACCTAACATTTGAAGAGAACTGCTGCATTTATCTTCGAATGTTCATACTCTGATTCTTTTCTGTGGTCTCTTATAGGAACGACCGTGTTCATTTATGCTACTTTTCCTATGCTTGAAGACATTCTGTTTTTATAGATACAGTTATTGCAGTAAACTCTCAAGAACTTAACATTTAAAGTTAACTACAGCAACTGTTCTGAACAAGAACGGCGAAATCATGACATCAGACCCTGGCGCCACACAAGCAAGCCCTTTCGACTACGGCTCAGGATTCCCCGACCCCACCAAATTCACAAACCCAGGTCTAATCTATGACACCCAAACACCAGACTACATCTCCTTCCTCTGTGGCCAGGGCTACGACGATGGTGATATCCAGGGAATCACGGGCAACAACAAAGCCACTTGCAACCAAAATCCAATGCCAGCTTCTTCTGATCTCAACTATCCATCCATCACAGTTTTTGATATGAATGCTAATTATTCTGTCGCTAGAACCGTGACTAATGTAGGAAAACCGAGAAGTTCGTATAGAGTCTCTGTATCACCGCCTGATGGAATTGAGGTCCATGTTGAGCCTAAGTATCTCTCTTTTAGGAGTTATGGCCAGAAGGCGAAATTTGCGGTGAATTTTAGGGTAGTTTCGTATTCGCGTGCGTTGGATTTTGTTTTCGGGTCTTTGAAATGGAAGGCTGTAGGAGATGTGCAGGTTGTAACTAGTGTTTTAGCTGTTAGGGTTCCAAAAGCTACTTCTGATCCGAAACTGATATGAGTTTTAGTATAGGTTGGTGCATTTTACTACAGTTTTATGTTTTATGTTGCAAGGATTAAAGGATGTTTTGTATAGACATTCAAATTTTATGTAAGATCATTTGTGCTATTTGGCCTACTGGGCTGTCTTCAGTATTCTGAGTCTCATGATTCTTTTTCCTTGTAAGTTTTCATTGTTTTAAAATTGGTAAAATATTCAGATAAACTATATATGGCTAAGAAATTTAGCAGTGATTTAATAGGAAAAATAATGTTGCCTGTTTTTTAAAGATTTCTAGACATTTTCCTTTAAAAAAAAGTTTTTTAGACATTTTATGTATAGATCTACCTAGATAGGAATAAAAATTACAATGGAAAATCAGTTCAAAATATCACTTGAAGGCACGAGCAGATCATGTGAAAATAAAACACGTTTTCTCCCTCGAGAGTGCAAGTTAAACTCCCTTTTTTTTAAGGGTATAAACTGAAGTGGTAAAGAAAAAAGCGTACATGTATCATATATGCATATATATATATACAGCACGTTGGCTGTATCATGGGCCAAGACTTCCTATGGGCCTTAATGCACACTGTATAGGTTCACTAAACTTTTGTCCATGTGTATTTGAACCCACAATTATAGGCTTTATAGCCAGGCCCAGTGCTGATTAATTTAACCGAAATATTACTTATTTGCAAATCATTTTAACATTTATCTAACCATTTTTTTAGTAACACTATTTATCATCAAAGGAAACTTCCTTTTATTCGCGATCTTAGGAATTATCCTCTAAGTAAAATACAATACATAAACGATAGTTGATTTTACAAGCTCTCGCATGAGACCCTTCATTTGTACACCTATCAACATGATTGTCTCTCATGTGATCATGTTACAATATTCTATGAACAATTTAATACCTACATAAACAATAGTAGGCAAGTGCATACTGAAGTATATGCGCATGTTGCAAACTCCCATAGTATTCTCCTGACATCATAAGATTGGTTTTGAAGTCTCGAACCATTTTTATCGTTCGAAAAAGCTTTGAAGATGCCAAAATCATGGAGGTTAATTTGGTGCTATAGCAGCAAGCTACATATTATACATTTATCGAATCATGATTAAATTTAGATTTCTGATTGATTTTATCAATGGATTTATTCCTTAGTAAGATATTTATTTGATGAAACTATCTTCGGGTAACAACTGATGCTCCGATTATTTGAATCTGCTTTATTTTTTCAAGCGAGCATAGATGATAATAATAATAATAATCATAATAATAATAATAATTAGTATTTGTATTATCTAATGTTCCGATAATACACGCTCTATTTTCATCTACGCCTCTAAATGGAGCAGATACAAATATTGTTATTATATTTTTTTTGTTAATTTATAAACTAGGAAGTAAATATATATTCATTTTACATGTTCATATATCATCCAATCATGAATTATATTCGGAACATTTGGATTAAAAAAATGTGATACCGTGTATTATTGATGGTGCGATATCAAGCCCAACCTAGGGTTAAGTAAGATTTTAAAAAAGGTGATACTATGTATCATTGATGGGGAGAAATCAAGTGCAATCTAAAGTTAAGTAATACTTAAAATGGAGGCTTCGTAACATGGCTACCAATATCGGTATCGGTTGTTATACACTAAACCTTAGTCAAGGTCCCGAAACATTCGAGCTTAAACAATGGATGAAGCCTCAGATAAAGGCTCGAAATGAACTTTAACCCTAAAAGCTTAAGCTATTAGGTATTGACCCACAATTTTATTTTAAGCTCATTAATCTTTGATGTAGGACTATGCTTATAAATGATTACTCAACAATTATTAGATCAATTTTGATTGAATATGAAAGGGAAAATAAATCAAATAAATCCCTGGATCAGTATCATTTAGAAATTAATGAGGCTCTAAGGCTTCATCCAAAGCTCTACCTCCATGTAATTTAAAATTCACACAGTTACATATGTTCTCGTAAATCCAAAATAGAAAGCTTATCTCCCTTTTAAAAAAAATGTATTGATGCGTACAATAGAGAATGTAGCTATACACCTTATAATATTATATAGAAACGCACCCTATGTTAATATGTAGCTACACACTCTGTACTATGCAGCCTTAGACATTTTTCTAGGTCAATATGCACTTTGTATTATGATACTTTGGATTCAAGGTTAAGTAAACTCTGTATTCTTTGCGTATAAAAACATGTAGAACAACGATGTGTGGGCTTTAAAATAAAGCGATATAGAATTTTGGTGTATAAGCAAAAGCCGATATTTTAAATGGGGTAAATATCAGAAAACCCACTTTAAGGTTGGACGGTTATCAGAAAACCCTCCATTAACTTTTAAAATATTATAAAATCTCTTTAAATATAGAGATTATCACAAAACCCTTTTTAACTATTAGATTTCATTAAAAAAAAACTCTTTAACTTTTTAGGATTTTATCAAAAAAAACCCTAAATTAGAGGGGTCTTCTAATAACCCCTAAACTTAAGAGCTTTTTTTTTTTTGGAAGTTTGGGCTTTGCCTCGTTTGTTCTTCAGATCCGCGTTGTAGCGGATCCCGTCAACGGACTCCATGGCTTTTGCGAATTATTTCGCAAGGCGTTGACGTTGCCTTTGGCGGTCTCTCTTCGAGAGAGTCACCACGCCCCCTGCGGCAGAAGGGTTACAAGATCCTAGTAAAGACATAGTAATAAAATTTCTTGGGCTATTTCAATTTTCCACAATTGTTAGATTACAAAAAATTATAGGCATTATCCTAAATAGCATACCGGAGGCGGAGATGAACATGGCACCGGTCACTTTGCGAATTTATTCATTTTCTTTTTGGTGTTTCTGTCTCTACAAAAAGAATTTTGTTATATTTTTATGGAATTTGTTATGGAAAATTTCCATATCCTACAATTTTTAAACAATAAGGCAGTAATTGAAGATGGTCTAATTAGTCTCAATATTTACTTGCTATTACGATTTTAAGTAATAAAATAAGGCTGCATGGAACACAAAAGTTTTCATAATAGTAAAAATCCTATATGGTCTCATCTTATTAATTGATATTGGATTATACAGTGAAAATTGACGTAATTGAACCATCTTCAATTACCACCTAAGAGAGAGCTTTTATCCATCTATCTTCATTATCAAACTCTTTAAAACAGCTCCCTCTCTCTCTCTTATTTCTTTGTTAAAGAAGATAAGATTAGACAACCTAAACTTTTGCCAATAGTAACATGGAAATAACTCCGATGATCTTTCTCACGTGTAAAACTTTTCCAAAATTGGCTAAGTATTAATACCTCTTGAGCGCGATAAGTAAAACTAACTCAAACTTAAACTAGAGATGGTAATGACATGTGAACCGCATCGACGTCAACCGCCGTACGCGGTGGACAGGGTCGCTGTCTCGTCTGCGTGGCGTGTGGCAGTTTCGTAATTAAACAAAACACGGAGGGCTTTAACGTACGTAGAAAAGTAAACACAAGGACGGGAGCAGGATAAGGCGGGCGACGCAAGCGCGATTCACGTGGCCGGCATCGCGTCCCACGTACGCCACCCACGAACCCGCTTTCAACGACACCACGTACGACACGTGTCATCCTTAGCGGAGCACCACAGCTGTTCCGCCCGCTACAGCTGATCCGGTAGGCGTGAGCTGGCGCGGGCCCCACAGAACAGCTTGGCTTTTGGGATAGACTATGGTACGGACTCGATACAGGCTGACAATAAACGGTTCGATTTTGAGAGCCGTGATTATTTTTTCCGTACATAATAAAAATTGAAAGAGAAAAGGGTTTCGCGATAGAAGGGAGCGGGAACAGCTGGCATCTTGGCGTTATCTCAAGATTCAGGAAGTTTAGGAAGAGTAGCTGGTTCCAATAGTACAGGAAAGCCAACGTCACGTGCACAATAATACGAATAATAAATTAAAAAATAATAATCGGGATTATAATAATAAGAGTGGCGCTACCGCCACACCCACACCTCCGGCCACACCTCCTCTCTTGCTACAGTGCAGAAGGTCCCACTTGAGAATTTATACAATAGGAACATATTGACGCATAGTCTAATGATTGTACTTCATGGTTCGAATCAGAAATAAGTTACTCAGCCTTCTCCTAAGTTAGGACGTGATTGATAATTTTAAAACATGATTAAATTTGGACTAGTTTTAACTTAACTAAACTAAAGTTGGTTCATGGGAGTTAGTCTAAAGGATAACTAGTTTTTAAACTAGAATTTGAACTAAATAAAACTAGTTCAATCTCGGTCCTGATATTGCCAAACTGAAAACTATAGATTTTTGGTCAAGATTGCACTCATTAAAACTAGTTTAGGGGAGTTGCCAAACACATCCTAAAATGCACTTCATAGATTTAGCTTTGAGCATTTTGGATAAGAGCGTCATATTTGTCGGCAAGCAAAGCCTAGAAATTCTCATATAATGAACTAGTGAACAATGGACTTTATTAAAGATACATGTTAAATGTTTTAATCATTACACAAAAACTTTGAATTTGTGTTGATGATCATATTTTTATATTTAACATATGCGCTGCAAGTTAAGCACCCATATTAATAGCCTGAAACTTGATCTCACACAGTGATATCAAATTTTAAAAACCTCATTTAAATTCGTGCTTGGTTGCCTTGAGTCATTGCTACGTCTCTTGAAATTTGTAAGACCCTCTTTTTTCCTTCTTCTTTTCTTTTTTTAATGAGTATTAGAACAAAATTTTATTTTAATATACAAGTATCTTACTCTTACTTATGTGTCCATAATCTTCTCCATAATCTTCTTAAATCGCGCACTACAGTAAAAATTATAAATTATGATACATTTTCATCTTTACTCGACAAATTTTTTGTATTGCACAAATAGAGCGCGACACATATTGAAAGTGAGGTTAGAGCATGTGTAAAGAGCGTCTTTCTACATATATAAGAATGTATTACAAAATTCACGACATATTGAAAGTACCCTAGAGGGGGGTGAATAGGGTAATTGCTAATATTATTAGATATTAATGCCAATTAAAATTAATTAACAAATATATCCTAACAAAAATGATATTCAATAAGATATATGTAAGGATATATATGCAAAGGGGGAAATAAATA